TTTTGTAGAGCCTTCTCTACTTTCCTGAACCTTCTCTAATTTTGTAGAACCTTCTCTAGTTTTTCATTCAGCCTTCTCTATTCTTTGAGCCTTTTCTAATTTTTCATTGAGTCTTCTCCATTGGCCTTGAGAGAGCTGGCTCTATTTCTTGTAGAGGTTGTTCTTGCTTCATGAAGGCTGCTGCTAAATTGGATTGGACAGAGAAAAGGGCATGACTTCAAATGGACATAACTCAGTCCATAAAACTCCAAATGAGGTGAAATTTGAGTCTAAATTTATTTTCTTGAAGTCAGCTATCTAAAGCCACCAGCCTTGCTCAAAAATTCCAACCATAGAAAAAGTTATGGCTGTTTAAGTGCAACCTGGTCAGAATTTTCGCAGGGCAGAATTAGGTATTTTGTGAAGCTTATATCTCAGTCATTTTTAATCCAATTTAGGTGAAATTTGATTCTAAACTCAAGGGCTCGAAATCAGCTTTCCAATGCCACTAGCCTTGTGTAAAAATTCCAACTACACAAATAGTTATAGTAGTTTTAGTGCAAGTTGGTCTGAAATTTTTCTGGGCTGAAAATTACTTCTTTGAGATATCCATCTTTCTAGCACCTAGGACTTTGATGAATGATTCAATTTTGTTCAAGGCCTGTTTCTAAAAGTCTAGGGACATATGAAGATGATAAATTTTAAGTGCATTGTGTCCTAGAGTCATTTACCAAATTTTGGCAATAAAGGCTTTAAAGATGAAAAATTAATTCAATGCCTTTTCCTTTTCTTTTTAGAGACCAAAATAAATGTTATGATTAATGTGCATGGTCTTAGCATTTCTAGCTTAAGTTGTGAGTTCTTTCAAAGCTTATGCAAGCTTAAACTAACTCATTCTTAGCAAAGACTTCATATGTTAAATATATATGTATTGAAGTTCATAGTCTATTACTAATGATGTAGGAGCATAAAAATGATGTATGATATGCATGGTCCTATAGAGATGAGCTTCAAATGAATTCATAAAGATTTTGACATTGAATCTTAAGCTCTCACCATCCTATCTACCCTTTTCTTCATTCTTTGACCATGATCGTTGAGGCTTTGAAGAAGACTTTCTTTCTTTCTTTGAAATGCTTTGTGTGATCATTGAAGTCCGAGTTCTTCTTTAATTTCTTGCACTTTGATGCTTCCTTGAATCCATTGCTTGAGTGTTTGGAATGCTTGAAATGGAACTTCTAGCTCATCATTGAGAATTGAATGATTGATCAACTATACTTCACTCAATGAAAATATTAGTACATAAATATCATTAATGGTTTGTAATCATCAAAACATAAGATTGACCTTTAGATAAAATCCTTAGGCCAACAATATTCATTAGGCACATAATGGTCTCTTAAAGCAATGGGAGGATTCACAACCAGCGGTGCTACTCGAACACCTTGATTACCTTGCATAATGGGAGGTTGTGGAACAAAAATTAGCCGAGGCATTCCTAATGAAATTTGGCCTTGTTGTTGTGGGTGAATGAATGGTCTAGGCATGCCTAAGGTACTTGAATGTTTTCATGATGCACATTAGGGTGGAGGATGCCTTGTTGGTTTATGTGACCAAGGTCCTCCACATGGTCATCATTGAATTCCTCCATTGGTAAAATGGAGCGATAAGAACTACCTCTTCCCCTAGGATTACGAGCAACCGATTCAAGATGCAAATTAAGAGGGACAAGAGTAGAATTTAATGACCTACGACCATGCATACACTAGCTAAACAAATAACAAGCAAATAATAATCACTTCGCCCCCACAACAAGTCAATCAACAAACATTCTCCACATACAATGATTCCATACTCCCATGCTTGAACAACATGCAAAGAAAAGTAAATTGCCTCCATGCGGGCTCACGATTTGTCTAAGAATTGAAAAACTTACCACCACGCTGGCTGATGATTTAACTAGAGACTGAGTTAGAAAGATCTCACAAAGGGTCCTTAAGCAACTTCAATTTATTTTCAATTTTCAAGCCTTGCTATGCTTTGCAATTTTTTAAACTTTAGCTTTTTTTTGCTTTTAGTTAGCTTCACTTGGCTTCCTTGCTTTCAATTCTCCTTTGCTCAACTTCCTTGCTCAATTCACCTAATCAAATAAGAACAAACACAATAAGTAACTAAAAAGAAAATAAAGCAAAGACACGATCAAAAAAGTACTAATTCCTATTTGTTTCCAAAACACAGCATTGCCAATTTAAATCCCCGGTAACGGTGCCAAAATTTGATGAGCCCCTTCTTGTGTGTGTAGAAAACGAGACTTTTTAATGCGAGAGGTCGTTTCGCAAGGTCAAAATATGAATGTGGTTTTAGAAGCTTTTCTAGTCAAATTTACATTTATAAAAACCACTACTACAACTAATGAAGTATAGCGAGTAGGGATTGTCCATAGAGATTATACGTGTTGGAATTTAACTTCAACTCTAGCGTATCAAAAGATTGCAAAGGAGAGTTGGTTGGTTGATTACTCTAGAAAACAATTAAATTAAAATGCAATTAAAGTAAACTAGTAAGAGATAAGGATTTAAGAGATATGAAGAGAGGTCTTAGGGTGTTGGAATCACCACTAAGCTCATGTAATTAACCACTTGCTTTCCATTAATGGGGAATACATTGTTGCAATCAAGATATGGCCACAAACATGAAACACAATTTGCATATAAAAGTGTGAACTATCTAATGCAAGAGTGAATTGTCTACCTAACCAACAAGTAAACTAAGTGTAGAATAACCCACCAAGACAAAAGGCATAATCCATCAATTAGTTAACAAATGGGTCTAATGAGGGCACACATCAATCTAGAGAATCATGGAATTTGCAATAATAAGTGTGGAATATCAAATCAAGCATAGATTGTCTATCTACCTACAAACATGAATTAAATTGTAGAACAACCCATCAAGTGTAAGTATAATCTATCAAATTAGTTGACAAACCCATTCAATGAAAACCCATGCTTATCCATCACTAAATCCTTAATTAATCACACATAGACATGCAACCAACATAGAGAATCTAGTGTAGAGATCAATTCCCAAATAATCACACATAAGACAACATGTAATTAAAATAGAGAATCATAAGGAAGAATTAAATCAACAATCACAAGGCTAAGCACTTATCATAACAATATATATATAAATCCCCAAAAATAGAAATACAAGGGTTTAGATTACACAAGACTTAGGGCTCATCCAAGCCCTAAGTGTAGATCTAGCCAATCATAGAGGAGGTGGATGTGGTCATGAAACCCTTAAGGGCAAGCTCCAAACATGGCTCCATTTTCTTCTTCTTCTTTTTCTTTGAAGCTCTAAAGATAGAGAGTATGTGGATCTAGAGATATGTTCTTGAGATGTGCCTCCACTTTCCTCTTTTCTTCTAACCCTAATCTCTAACTTTCTAGAGAGAGAAACTCCAACAATATAGAAATTACAATGTGCAAATATGAATCTCTCTACAAAAATGATTCAATCCCTCTTATATACAAGGCTTTGAGAGCCCAAAAATATGAGAACTCGGCCCTAGGATCTCCTCTTTCAAGTACAGCCCGAGTTGGTTCGAAATGAGCTTCAGATCTGCTTTTTAATAACTTTCGCGAACAGTTCGATCGATCAGACTTTTCTTCGATCGATCAGAGTTTGATCGATCTCACTTTTCTTCGATCGATTTGGGTTCGATCGATCCAACTTGGCAGTTTTTCAGCATTAGCCTCATTTTACTTCAAATCAGCCTCTTTTTGCTCCAAATTCTCACCAAGACTTAATTTGACTCCAAAATGGCCTTAAGAAACCATTTTTAGCCCATTTTAACACTATTGACCTGAAATAGACAAAAACACAAATAAGTACTAAAACGGGTAAATAAAGATAGATGAATGGACTAAAATACCATCGCTTAAGGGGTTTAAATGTGCACTTTTCAGCACTCATCAGTGTTTAATCCCAAATTGGACAATGTATTCAAAATATGTCCATGCCAAAGACAATTATCGCATTTTAACACCGACACCAAAGCAATCGCACTAGAAACACGGCAGGAGAATTCCCTCCATCGAACTAAGCAATCGCAATATATGATACCGTTATTGCCAAACAACGCTAGTAGGATAACGTTACCGCCTCATTTGGAATCATGAGTAAATTTTCACTTAAAAAAACTTGTGACCAAAACACTCCCCTATTTCTAATAATACATGAGTTTTCTGGTCATAAGTTTTTCTTTCCGATTGTCATTATTATTTCCAACATGAAGCTTCAATATAAGCTCCCTTTTCAAAAAGGATAAAAAAATTTGGACTAATTTGGGCTTTACATGCGAGTGAAAAATAATTAAAAACGATATGATACTATTAAGCTTTTTGTTAACATTATCAAAAAAAGGAACCGTTTCATTCTAAAAAACACAAATAAACATTAATATAATCTTAAATGGCGGCCTCTTCTCATATATAAAAATACTCATGAACTCTCTCTATGCTCGTGAATTATTTACATATTGCTGGCTTCATTTGTAATTTCATTTAAAGGATGGTATGTTTATTACGTGGACGTATTTGTTTTCGTGTTGTTGGATTCACGACCAGAAGTGTTTTTGGTGGAGTGATTGATGTTGCGAATGGAAGTTACTTTATAATAATTTTTTTATAAAAAAGGAAAGAAATTTTTTATTATTATTAACATTATTGAAAAGATATTTTTATGCTATTATTCGAATAATGAGGGCAGCTAGACTCACTTTCCTATAATGCGCGTGCCATACAACCTCCAAGTACAGGAACTACGTGTTTTACACTCGCGTAACATGATCGTGTCACTATCATGTCACTACATGGACCAATTTAATCACGAGAGATTTCTTGCTACATAATCTGCGGTGATAGGGGCGAACAAAATGAGGTCGGAATGAAATTGAAATTCGAGCGAAATGCAAATCAACACCATCAAATGAAATTCTGACTATTAAATTCACGCGTAGTCGTAGTAGTCATGAAATCCGTGTATAATCGTCGATATAGAGAGAGAGTGTAGATAGAGAAACAAAGCAACTGTGAGAGAGAAACTCCGCCTGCGGCTTATAATAGAAGTTTGCTAAGCCCACCTTCTGGACACTTTCGCTAACATACAGAGAGATTGGCGCCGAATGCGGCGGCGAAACTCTTGCTAACTTGCGCAGGCCGGTCCTCAGAGAGTCTGAAAATGGCCGATTTGTTACAAGGTACAACTTCTTAACAATCAATTCTCTGTCTTGTGATTTTGTAAATAATTGGATTTTCATTGTTCATTTGTGTAGTCTGTCCAGATTTTTGGTTCTAATTCATTGTTAGTGCTTTAATGTTAGTTAGTTCACATTTTAGTTGTATTGTAGCCTTTGGTATTTAGACGTGAGCTTGAATTGAAGTTGATAGTTTTGTGATTCAGGTGGTTCTGAACTGGTAATTTAGGGTTTGTGAAGGGACATTGTGTATTTATATATAAATACTTATATAGTAGTTGAGGTTTGAAGCAAATTGGTGATACTGAGGAAGCTAATGGTGGTATGATGCAAAGACTACAATCTTCTTTTGGGACTTCATCCTCTTCTGTCCCCAAAAAGCCCATCTCGATTAACCACCTTGATTTACATCAATCTTCATCTCAAATTCCTGCTCCAATGAGACAATTTTCACCAGATTTTAGTGCTGATAGCAGTAAGAGGGTTGGTATACCACCATCACATCCACAAATCCCTCCTATGTCCCCTTACTCACAGATCCCAGTAACCCGGCCGGTGAATCAACAACCGGGTTCACAGAATTTCAGCCCAAGTCCGCCTACATCCCATTCGCGATCTTTATCGCAGCCTTCATTTTTCTCACTCGATTCCTTGCCTCCGTTAAGTCCTTCGCCTTATCGGGACTCCACCTCAACATCAATTTTTGACCAAGTGTCAGCTGATGTATCAATGGAGGATAAAGATGTGAACTCACACTCTTTGTTGCCGCCCTCTCCTTTCACGAGGGGTAGTTCGTCGAGGGCAGGGGAGAGTCTCCCCCCTCGAAAAGCTCACAGGCGCTCTAATAGTGATATACCGTTTGGGATTTACAATATGCTGCAATCTTCGCCACCATTCATTCCATTAAGGGGAACAGGAGCTTTTGATCAGTCTTTGTCTGCTACAGAAAATTCTGCGGCTCAGCCTATTAAATTGGTTAAACGGGAGACAAGTTGGGATAAAGGTAGTGAGAGCAGTGCAGAAGGAATGGGTGAGAGGAAATCTGAGGGAGAAGTAGTGGATGACCTGTTTTCTGCTTATATGAATTTAGACAATGTTGATACATTAAACTCTCCTGGGATTGATGACAAACTGTGTAATGAGAATCGGGAGGATTTGGACAGTAGAGCTAGTGGTACAAAGACAAATGGAGGTGACAGCAGTGATAATGAAGCAACAAGCAGTATAAATGAAAGTGGAAGCAGCTTGCAGAGATGGGCGAACAGTACTTCGACTGAGAAGAGGGAAGGAATCAAAAGGAATGCAGGGGGAGATATTGCTCCAACCACTAGACACTATCGAAGTGTTTCCATGGATAGCTTCATGGGAAACATGAATTTCAGCGATGAGTCGCCAAAACTGCCAGCTTCCCTGGTGACACGCCCGGAACAACTGTCACCCAACAATTCAGCGGATGGGAATTCAAATACCTTTAGCATGGAATTCGGGAATGGTGAGTTTAATGGGGCTGAACTCAAGAAAATTATGGCAAATGAAAAACTTTCTGAGATAGCATTGACTGACCCCAAGCGGGCAAAAAGGTAATGCATTCTTCAATCTTTGATGCTTCACTGTAGTTAGCTGATGTATAGTACATAACACGATCAGTTGGTTTTATGTAGGATTTTGGCCAACCGTCAATCGGCTGCTCGTTCAAAGGAACGGAAAATGCGATACATTGTAGAGTTGGAACACAAGGTTCAAACGTTACAAACAGAAGCAACCACATTGTCTGCCCAGCTTACTCTCTTGCAGGTGTTAATTTGGAGTGCCAAGGATCGTTCTATTAAAAAGCTATTATGTATTCTACAATGGCTTATTGTTGTATTTTTCATGCTTTTATCCAGAGAGATTCTGCTGGGCTCACAAGCCAGAACCATGAGTTGAAGTTTCGCCTGCAAGCCATGGAACAACAGGCACATCTCCGAGATGGTATGATTCTTTTTTCATATGCTATGTGCCATTTGTATGTGCTCATATTAGAGCTATTTCAATGTGCAACAATAAACTCTGGTTTGATTGCTGAAATGGGATATTGATGCATGTATTTTTGCCTTGCTGTTACATAACTTATTTTTCTGGTTTCATGTTATTGCTTCATAATATTTTAAGTCTACATTCATATTGATTTTTGGGACTAAGTTAAGTAAAATACATAAGTGGTTTTGGTACATTTGTTATGTGCTACATAAGTTGTGACTAAGAAGAGGATCTAGTGTTTTGACCGGGTTGTTCTTGTTCCATGTATGCTAATGACCAGAAGACTGAAGTCCCATATTAGATTGACCTTATGTTAAAATTTAATGTAGCCAAGTCATAGACCATTGTAGCAACAGTGCCAAAGTGCTGACATGGAAGTTTACCAGGAGGAGTGCAGTTTATGGTCTGTTTCTTATCATTGAAATTTGAAAAAAAAAAAATAATAATAAAATAAAATATTGTTGTAGAAATTAATTAATTTGGTTCATTTGAAGCTTTTTGCATGCTTGGTCATGTTACTGCAAGCCTGCAACTCAAGCAGGTTGGGTGCTTTTTGAGTTTAACTCTGAGGCTTAACCGAAATGGCTACTCAATGCAACCAATTGAAGGCGAAAAGAAAAGTCAGAAATGGCCTCAAATGAACAAGAAATTAAATCAATTTAACAACTGAATCAAATCCTTCGTACATCTCGTGAATTTCATCAATGAATGAGGAAAAATTAGAAACAAGAGTGATGGAAATCAGTGTGGGTTTTGCACCTGCGTCAGGCGTAGCTGTAGAGGTATTTTATTAGAGCAATCTCGGTTTTTATTTTTTTTATTTTTAAGGTTTTGGGGTTTATTTGTTTTTTGTTTCCTTTTTTTTTTTTATATATATATATATTAAAGGCCCTTATGTAAAGAATTATTCAGACTTGAATTGAAAATTACTGTAACTTTTCAAACTTTTTCCTGATCCTTTCTTTTTCCTCACCTCTGTTCTTGCTCTTCTCACACCCTTCTCTCTCTCTCATACACATGCTTTTTTTGTCTTGCATCCAAGAACAAATTGTGGTAAAGAAGAAGAATAGAATGCTTGCCTTATTAAAACAGCCAAAGCAATTTTACAAAGGAAAAATTGAATAAAAATCAGTGCAATATTTTTATTCTCTAGGATTTTATAGCCACATATTTTAATGGATAAATAGATCTTACCTCAATGACCAACCTGTTAGGATTTGTATCTCAAATTCTATCAATATTTGAGTTTCCTTAGGAGTCGTATTTTTTATGGTAATTTCTTGTTTGGCAAGTCTTGGCCTTTAAGGAATTTCTTGTCTTGGGCTCTAAGGAATTTCTTGTAAGGCAAGTCTTGGCTCTAAGGAATTGTGTTTAAGACTACAAATAGAGAGGGAGTTGTTTGGAGAAGGTAAAGAAGAAAAGAGAATGGTAGAGTGAGTGAGATGAAAAGAGAGTGGTGCGTGGGTGGGTGTAAGGTAGAGAGATATAGCCTCATAGAAAGTGGGTTTGCTTTTGAGCCCTAAAACAATCGTGGAATTAGTTATTAGTGAGTGTATTTTTTACAGTTATAATATGTTTTCTCTTCATCAATGAATAGTGGAATCTCTTCTCTCCGTGGACATAAATTGAGAGTTCGGCCAAACCACGTAAAATTTTTTGTTGTGATTGCATGCTTATTTTACTTATCAAATAAAATAAAAAAATTTGCATGATTGTTTGTTTTGATGTTTGAATCTCTATGTTTGTGATGTGATTTGCTTCCGCTGTGAAGAAGGAAGGGGATTTAATTCCCAGCGCAACCCAAGAAGGAGGTCATTTGAGGAGATAGGTTTTTTCAGTCTCTAGAGACTAATGAATGAAGAGAGATAATTAGTTGGGGTTAGGTTGTACAACACCTCAAATCAAGGCCAACCAAATTGCAGTTGCTTAGATTGGGTCATCCTAATCAAGTTGTCATCGTATCGTCCCATATCAAGAGTGAATTGAGAACTTACTCAATGAAAGTTTGTAAACGATAACTTGATGAATATCAAGAGTCAAAAAGAATCCTAGGTTGTGAACAAAGATATTAAATCAACAGTGAAGAAAAGAGAGAGAGATCCGTTTCTCATGTGCATTACAAGTAGTTCTTTGACATCCTACTTAGAATACTTGAACACTAATTGTAATTTTTATTAAGTACAACACAGGCCATAGATATTTTTTTATTTTATTATTATTATTATTATTATTTTTATCACCTCTTTTGGAGACTGTTAAGAGGTCAAAAGTGCTGGTGCATATTTTATTTAATATTTATATTGCTGAACAAGTGCAATGATGACTGTAGGCTGTGTTGTCTAATTATGACTGTTATTATATATTAATCAAATGTACTGCAAAAATAAGTAGGCTGTGTTGTCTAATTATGACTATTATTATATATTAATCATCCTTGGACAAACTATGCGAACTCATTCCCTTGGAAACTCCTGTTTCCCTGATTGGTTTTATTTGGCTTGCATTTTCTTAACGCTAATTGACGGAACTCTTTAGCATTCCTGCAAGGCTGCTTTTGGTACGCAGGAATGGAACAAAAAAAAAAAAAAAAAAGAATGGAATACAAGATAGAATGGAATGGGAATGGTATAGGAATTCAATGACCATTCTCATTTACTATTTGATTTTAGACAAGGAATGATGCAAGAATGAAATGGTTATTCTCATTACTATGTTTGGTTAGACCACTTCAAAAGTTTTTTTTTTTTTTTTTTTAATCACCTCTTTTGGAAACTGTTAAGAGGTCAAAAGTGCTGGTGCATATTTTATTTAATATTTATATTGCTGAACAAGTGCAATGATGTCTGTAGGCTGTGTTGTCTAATTATTTCTGTTATTATATATTAATCAAATGTACTGCAAAAATCAAGTAGGCTGTGTTGTCTAATTATGACTATTATTATATGTTAATCATCCTTCGACAAACTATGCGAACTCATTCCCTTGGAAGCTCCTGTTTCCCTGATTGATTGAATTTAGCTTGCATTTTCTTAACGCTAATTGACGGAACTCTTTAGCATTCCTGCAAGGCTGCTTTTGGTATGCAGGAATGGAACAAAAAAAAAAAAAAGAATGGAATACAAGATAGAATGGAATGGGAATGGTGTAGGAATTAAATGACCATTCTCATTTACTATTTGATTTTGGACAAGGAATGTTGCAGGAATGAAATGGTTATTCTCATTACTATGTTTGGTTAGACCACTTTAACAATTAGGGTGAGTTACGTTGACACCGATGGGTTACTAGTTTTTGTGCCAAGTCTGATGTAATTACCTAGTGCCTTGTTGTACAGAAGATGGGTTACAACTTTAAGGTGTTTTATTAATCAAGTTGCTTAGCATCTATTTTAACAGCATTTTTTTTTTCAAAAGTAGCATATATGATTTGCACTGATGATTGGTTCTCTAATTTTTCAACATGCAATTTGTGTATACAAAATTGTTAGCTAGGGCTTTCATTTGCATGCTTAAAAAGGTTCTACCACTGCATTGTAAAATAAATTCATTCTCAATTTGTGTGATTGTGACAGCACTAAATGACACATTAAGTGCGGAGGTTCAGCGGTTGAAGCTTGTTACTGCTGAACTGGGCGGCGAGACTTCAAAGTTTCAGCAGCTTTCGATAAACCCCCAGATGTTTCAGTTGCACCAGCAGCAGGCTAACCAATTCAACCTACAGCAGTTTCAACAGCAGCAAGAGCAGTCACAATCGCAGTCAAAGCCAGAGCAGAATGGCAGCACAACCAGGAAGCAGGACCCAAATCAGTAGGTTCTAAAGGGGATGAGATGGCATAGAAGTCTTTGCTGCCCTTTATTTATTATGTCTTGTATCATGTGCTGGATATTTAGCAGCAATTCATTCAATGCAGTCATTCATTCGTTTTGCATCTCCAACGGAACAGAGTATGGTGATCCAACCTGCCTTGCATGTCCATCAGCAACTGATATTTAGGTCATATACAAGGTCTAATATTTATAGTGTTTACATATGTGCTAGCAAATTATGTCGGATTGAGAACTTTTGGACATATTTTGTTTTGACGGAGAGTTAAACCTCAACTCTTCTATAGTTTTATTTTGTTTCTTTAAGTAAAGATTTGGTCATTTTATGATTTATCTGTTATTTCGTGCTCAGCTTGATTTCGTGCGCTGGTGTATGCTAGTTGTATATGCAATGTTTCTAGACAGAGTCAATTGTGACCTAAACCAAGGAAATTATGGTTTGTTTCTGTTTCTTGTTTATCTTCTGTTGGTGCCAGTTGCCCGTTTATGTAGTAAGATGACACCAAGACCCTTATTTTCTTGTGATGTGCATGAATTAGCCCTTCATATATATGTTTACTGTTAGTTGCCTCTCCTATGTCTTTGGTGCCACCTCTCCTCTCTCGTCTTCGCCTCATGCATATTTGGCACTAGGGTATATATGCGTGTATCTAGGTATTTGCATTTTGTTTTTAATGATTTTGTAACTTAAAACTGTGGTTGATCTGTTGCACGGTGGTTGCATTATCGGACCAGCGAGCTGTAGCAGGGTTTCGGTGAATCGGCTTACCTTTTTCCCTAGGGGTGCACATAGTTCGGTTCCTTACGGTTTTGGTCAGAACTAGAACCATTTGCAACAGTTCCTTAAAATTGGAACCGGAACCGTACAATATGGAACCAAACCGGTTGGTTCCATGAGAACCGTGAAATGTTTGTTTTTTGTTACAAAAATGTTCCCTATATACAACACTTAACATAATACTACACTTTACACTGAAATGTTCCCTGAATATAACACTAACACTGAAATTTTGTAACTTGTAACTCAGTAGTGTTCCATAAATTTCATTATTTAACACTTAACAGAAATTAAGAATACAATATCACAAATAAAAATATAAATAAATACAGAATATAGAAAATAAGACTTTAGTCTGATAGTGTCTGAGAAGTTGATAGTGTAAATCTGAGATGGGAGCGAGGATGAATGACTGATGAGAAATCTGAGATGGGAGTGAGGATGAATAATTGATGAGAAATCTGAGATGGGAGTGATATTAAAAAGGAATAGGTCGAAATATTAGTTTAGAAACCAACATATGTGACAGATCGATCAAGGACTTACCGAGTAATCTGAGATCGGAGACGACTAATGATGAAATCTGAGATGGCGAGGGCGATGAGGACTGAAGAGATGAGAGGAGGCGACTCAAGCGAGGGCGATGAGAGGTCAAAGGAGGCAAGGGTTAGCTTAGGGTTCGTCTGTTTAGAAAAGAGATTGAGAATTTGAGAGGAGGTGAGGACTGAGAGAGTGAAGATTTAGGGCAAAAAATTAAAAAAGTATGTTTTATTCTTTTTCGCACTTTTTTTTTCACACGTCTGTCTCTTTGACTCTTTTCAGTTTACTCTTTATTATAAAATTAAGGGTTAAATACAAAAAAAACCCCTGAACTATTGGCTAATTAACAACAAACCCCCTTGAACTACAAAAATTGCAAGAAACCCCCTAAACTATACATTTTTGTTACAAATGACTCCATCCGGCGACGCTCCGATTGAATCTCACTGACAAAATGAACATGTGCAATCACGTGACCCAAAATATCTAACTTGATGACCATATTGTCCTTTATAAGCATGAAAAGACTTCATTGCCCTTCTTATGACCATTCCACCCCCACCTCTTTAACTTACTTTTCCACCCAAACACACCCTTAGAAATACTGTTCATCTTCTCTGCGAGCCTTCCCAGGGATGAGGGAATAACCTTGTTAACTCCTCTGACTGTTGATCTCTCTCCTTCTCTATATATATATTTACGTTGTAATTCATCCATTACAGATTGTCCAGAGAATCGAACAATTTTCAGAATCGAACAATTTCAGAAACATTGATAGGGTCACATGAATATAGAGATGAATCAACAAATTCAGAAACACGTTTGAATAAAATAGAGTATTTGAAACCCCAATTTGGTATACACTGAGTAAACATTTAAAAAAAAAAAAAAAAAAAACCCACACCACACAACTCTTGAGCTGAACTGTGATAAAAAAATAAATAATAAAAAAAATAACAAAATCAATGGCAAGCCGGTCCGTCACCGCCGATGCACCACCCACTGATTCCACTGGCCGAGCCAGTCCTCACTACCGTCCGTCCTCTCCACCGTCCAAGTTCATCCTCGCCGAAGCTTTCCACCTTGCTCGCAAGCTCGCCAACGAGTCTCCACGGCCGATCCAGTCGCCCACCCCTGGGTCATTCCCCCACCGTCTACTCACAGCCATCGCCACCGCCGGGCTGTTTACTGCCGCCGCCGATCCGAACCAACCTCATCGTCGTCGTCTGAGTCAACCAGCTGGCATCGCAAACATCACTCCAAGTTGTGCTCTTTCTACTCACCGCCGCCTTCTCGCTGGAAAAGGAGGATCCTGGCCGCCGTTCTCATCACAGGTAGGTGTCTGTCGAGTTCCTCACAGCGGTGCACCACCATCACAACACTGAAATACACAATCAATACAGACAGTCTCACTTATATATACACAAAATGCAAGTTAGTCATTTTCCCATCCTCTCCAAACCCTAATTTATACACAAAATCATATACATATATACACATTTATATATCTATATCTATATACACACAACAAAATTAGGCACCGATAATGATCGAGTGACCTGAACTCCTTATGATCATTGACCAATTAGTCTCTGTATCCCTCAACTTGATTGATGATGATGCAACCACTACCATCGTCGCGATAGCTGCATCTGGTCCTCTGCTACCTTTATAATCCTCCTCCTCCCCGTTTCTCTGACCCAAGGGCCGTTGTTGATCCTCGGAGCTCGTCGACGACAACCCAGTTGATGGCGATCTTACACGACCAATTCTTATGTGCCAGGCTTCCCGACGCTCCGCAGCCGTGCGCCGCCTTCTTTGGGCGCAGGTCGATGGTGAATGAAGGTCAATCTATTACGTGTATGCTCGTTTAACCTCTGTGTTCAGCCTTTCCACGGCCTTGCAACTCTGAAACTGCGTCGTTTTATTGGAAGGGCAGTTTCATCCTCTTCTTTTCCGGTGGCTTAAGTGGGCAAATTGCAAAAAATTCAGAGTTTAGGGGAGTTTATTTTAGTTCAGGGGGGTTAGTTGCAAAACCCCTATAGTTCAGGGGGGTTTTTTGCATGACTATAGGGGTTTTTTGCATTTAACCCTAAAATTAAATATAATATATATATATATATATATATATATATATATATATATATATATATATATATATGGTTCCGGTTCTTACCGGTTCCCACGGGCTGGAACCGAAACCGTATGCCCACGGTTCCTAAATTCGGAACTGGGATCAGAACTGGAACCGTGAGAACCGGACTTCGGTTCTCACGGTTCCACGATTCTTTTGTGCACCCCTATTTTTCCCTTGCCCCATTTTCTTGTAATCAGTGGCTTTTATAAAGCCACATTCTTGTATTGTGAGGTCAGAAATTGGCTTTACAATTAGGACAGTGAGTTCGACTAAAGCCATGAAGTTCTAAGAAACGAAGACAACAATATGGTGCATAAGTAATGGCAAAGACTCATACTTTCCTTTGGGGCTTCAGAGTCTTCACCGTCATTTGCTCCACAGTTTGTTAAAACAATTACAGATATCACCAGGGTGATGAAACCCTAATTTGTCACGGGTGTTTGATATAGTTTCCCAGCTTCAAAGACATCAAAATTTTACAAGGAAAATCTCCTTCAATATGGATCAAAAACCTTAGTTCTTGGGTACTCACCCAATGTAAATCCACTAGTGGTGTTGCAGGTTGATGCACACTCAGCAGTCTCACACTCTCTGCACACACATCCTAGCTCACACAATGTGCACTAAGCACTCCCCCTATCCTAAGTACCCGTGCTTGGACCAATATAGCTCTCAGTTCTTCAAGTACATAATAAATGATGGATAAATATCATACAATAGTTATTACAAAAGATCGATTCACATCATACAAAAGCTATTACAAAAGATCGGAATCAAATTACAACTCAAAGTATGAAACAATACAAAAGTACTTCACAAATTCTGCAAAATATGTGGTCTGTGAACTCAAAATGGATTACAGTTTCAATACAGACCTAAACTTGATTCTCACAGCCTCATATCAACAATATACACTTGCTCATATGATAAACATAATGAGTATAGTAAGGTATAACAATTTCAGTACACAAACAAGCTTGATTTGTGTAGAGAAACCTAACTATCAAGGTATGAAAGGCCAAAACATTAAATGACCATTTCTCTGTTGAAAACTTAACTTGTCTCAAATGTTAATCAATATGTTTACAGTAAGATATCAATGTATAGTACCCATATCAGAAGCATTGCACCAGAAAACATACAAAAAATTGAGGTCTGAGATGTAAAAATCTACTGCAGTGAAGATATGAGTATAAACCTGGTTCTACAGTTGCACAATGTCAAATCAAACTTGTCTCAGCCTCCAAGAGCCCCTGTGGATGCCTCATATCAGAAATGAACCTTTAAACCACTATCTTGTACCAAAAAACAACTTCAAAAGACCTTGTTCATTATCTTCAATTGTATACACTCGCAAGGTATATATCTGAGGTGATTTTCAGCTCACTCAATGGATCAAACACGCATAAATATTCATGTTCATATGAGTCTCCAGTATCATACACAATGTAGCTCAATATTGGGGCACTCACAACTCACACTAGAGGCACACACTGAATTCTACTATAACAGCATATATATAATAGTATATTGTAGCTGAAGTAGTCCTAAAAGAGGATATAATTGTGCCACCATCCTCCAGTCATTGGTGAGGAGAATATTCTGACATTCCCTGTGTGAAAGGACCACATTACCCCTACCAACTCAATTTTTTTGTCATGTAGTGCCCTAATGTACAAAACAGAAATTGTATATGTATAGGTCTGTGATATGTAATGAAACTTGTTGCCAAAGAATTGTGCAACTATCACTGCACTCTCACTATAGGGCCATAATGCATATGCCAACCATGTGCTCTTCATTGACAGAATGACCAAATTACCCTTCAAGAGAACAACTGTCATATATTTCAGAATTTTGTGTAGCAGCATGAAGATA